GAAATATCTCAAGAAGAAATGAGATGCCACTAAATTACATCTTGGAGGTTGAAATATTTGATATATGGGGAATAGACTTCATGGGACCTTTTTCCCCATCGTACTCAAATCAATATATCTTGGTGGCCGTTGACTATGTCTCTAAGTGGGTGGAAGTTGTTGCATTGCCTACTAACGACGCAAAAGTGGTGATAGAGTTCTTGAAGAAGTACATATTCACAAGATATGGTACACCGAGGGCGATAATAAGTGATGGGGCAAACACTTCATAAATCGTCAATTAGAGCAGCAGTTGAACAAATATGGGGTGAAGCATAAAGTAGCAACTCCATATCATCCACAAACCAATGGGCAAGTTGAAGTTTCGAACAGGCAATTAAAAAGAATACTAGAAGTTACAGTGAACTCATCCTGAAAAGATTGGTCTAAGAAGATGGACGATGCACTGTGGGCTTACAGAATAGTATTTAAGACACCAATAGGAATGTCTCCATACCGCCTGAATAGCGTTTAAGACACCAATAGAAATGTCTCCATACCACCTGGTGTTTGGGAAAGCGCGTCATCTACCATTAGAGTTGGAACACCGAGCATATTGGGTTATGAAACAGTTGAAGATGGATGGAGCACCGAGCATATTGGGCTATGAAACAGTTGAATATGGATCTCAAGGCTGCCAGTGAAAAACGACTGCTGCAACTTAATGAATTGGATGAGATGAGAATGGAAGCTTACGAGAACTCAAAGTTGATCAAGGAGCGCACCAAGAGATGACATGATTTAAACATTCAGAGGCGAGAGTTTGAAGTTGGCCAGAAAGTGTTATTGTACAATTCTAGACTCAAACTCTTCCCAGGAAAGTTAAGAACAAGGTGGTCGGATCCCTATACCATAACTAAGGTGATGCAATATGGGGCTATTGAAGTGAGTCACGAGACCAAAGGCACTTTCATCATCAATGGGCAAAGACTAAAACATTATTGGAGCTGTAATTTCCCTAAGCAGAAGTCCACTGTGTAACTCAACAACCCAACGTGAAGAAGATACAGGAAAGTCGAGCTATCGACTATAAACTAGCACTGGGTGGGAGGCAACCCACTGTATCCTTCAATTTATTTTATTGCATTTGTATAGGAATTTGTTTATATTTCGTATGTTTTATTTGGTCATCGATCATTCACGCATGATAGTCTAGGCACTACACGTTTATAGTTGCATGAATCAGGGTTAAAGAAAGTGTTTTGGGTGTTTGAGTGTGAAGTAATGAATTTCGTGGTTCAAAGTCGTTCGTTTTTTATTTTTCGAGATGTTTTAAAAAAAAAATTTGGGCTTTGTCCATGCGGTCGCATGGACCCTTACTGAACCAATTTGGGGGGGAGACCAATTACACCAAGCGGCCGCATGGTGTCTAAGTGATGGGTTTTCAACCCGTCACTTGCAAATCTTCCCCATTTCCCCCACACCCACACAAGCACACGAACACGCCATCCCCCTCCCCAATTCGGCATGTAATTATTTTGCATGTTCACAATCCATCGTTAATTTTGACAATTTTTTTGCATGATGCATGCTTGATGAGTGAGTCTTGATGAACTTTTGCATACTTGTGTGGGTTTGGTAGCCTTGCCGGCTATGATATGATTATTGGACATGTATAAGCTAGAAACTGTGTATTTAGTGCAGGATTTAATTTGCTAATACTTGTTGATGCATTGCTTGACATTCTTTTGCACGTCACTCATGCTTCACGTGTTAAGTTATTGATTGAAATTTTAGAATAAATTAGGAGAAGCCTAGAATAACCCTTTATAACATTAACCCGTAATACCACTTAAAGATTGTTTGGAGATGATTGAGCCATTGTAGGGAAACATGAAGATAAGTGGGGGCTCCGTGCATGAAATTATAATGTGTGGATTGTTTAAACCCGGAAGGTGAGAAATAGGTGAAAACTTTAAGTGAGGATGATTTTGGAAGTCAAATGTCTAGAAAAACAAAGAAGGGGCATAAAGTAAAAAGAGAAAAATTATCACTTCTCTCAAAAAGTCTTTATGACTCGAGCAAGTAAGTCTGTAAGGGTTTAAAACCTGATGCCCTAATGCCAACTGGTTTGGGAGTCATCGGCCTAAAGCTCGTTACAAGGGTCATATAGAAAGCAAGAAAAGGGAGAAATTGATAAAAAAGTCATCTTATCGAGCCTTTATAACTCGAGTGAATAAGACTGCAAGGGTTTAAAACCTGGTGCCCTAAAACCAACTGGTTTGGGAGTTATCGCCTAAAACTCGTTACATGGGTTATATAGAAAGCAAATGAGAAGATGACACAAAAAAAAATAAAATAAAATAAAAAGAAAAAAGAAAAAAAGCCCTCGTTGGACATTTGGTTGATAGAACTCTAACCTCGATGCGAGGCAAGTAGCTTAGTTTATTCCTAAAGGTTGAAGCAATCAAAATAAGGAGAGTCTCTACTTGTTGATATGTGAACTTATAATGGTAAAATCTATCCAAATTAAGAGAGGGTAAGGATTAGAATTGTTTAAACTCCTAACCTTAGAATACACCCCGGAGAAATTGTGTGAAAAGAATACATTTGGGGATTGTGTATCTCTCGAGTAACGTAAGGATAAATTTGAACACTATGGGTTAGGAATAAACTAATCATAAGTTTTATATGTTGGCATGAGTTCACACACACACGTTGAGTATTGCATTTGATGAGTAAAGGTTGATTCAATTCTCGCACTCTTGATATAACTCGTGTTTTGGAATTTTATTACAAGATTTTACCTCAATAGGGAAGTAAGTTGGACGTTTTGGCTTGCCAACATTGATACAAGGTAAATCAGCAAAATAGCGCAAATCAATATTGCGGCTATTAACAAAGTAATCATAGACAGTCACTCAATAGTTTGAGCTTTGATAAGTGAACTTATTTAGCTCACAAACATAACTTAAACATGGGCAAAGTAGTTGAATTGTGACTTAATCTTGTTAAATTCATGCAATGTAAGTGTTTCCATGGAAGAGATGGAATTCATAAGAAAAGAGCCGAAAAAGGATCAAAACGAAACAAAGCGATAGTTCGGGGACCAAAGGTGAAAATATTGGAAAGTTGAGCTAAAGTGCAGAACGAGAATGAAAATATGCCAAGTATGAGGTTGAGGACGATACAAGACGATCGGAGGAAGAAAGAAATAACATTAGACTGAATTGAAGAAAAGTGAAAGATGAAGGACTAAATTGCAATTAATCAAAAGATGAGCCAAGCAAATGATCAAGGAATTGATTGACCCAAACATCAATTAGGAGTCAATATTTGATAATGGAACAAAGGAAAGAAAGAAAAGAGATCAAGAAAAGAGAAAACAGAGTTTAGGGACCAAAACAGCAAGGTTGTAAAGTTACAACCATGCGGCCGCACATGAGGATGCAGGGATTTTATTGAAGCAGATCACTTGAACCATGCAGTCGCATGGTTTAACACCATGCGGCCGCATGACTTTAAAATTCGAAGAAAATTCTGAACTTCCGTTTTTAATTGAAACTCTTTCGGGGCTCCGTGAGGACATGATATAAAAGTCAAAATTCATCAGAAATAGGGTAGAATGTTAAGGGAGAAGAAAAATATAACTTTTGGAGGCAAGAAACACGATCTTGAAGCCGATTCCACAAGAATTCAAGCGGGTTTTCAAGGCTTTATTCAAAATTTCAAGAAATTTTCAAACGGGTGCTATTCTTTCTATTTATTAATTTCGTTTTTTCTGTAATTATCAATATTCTAGGTTAGGTTTTCAATTCATTAGGTGATCGATGAACCGTTGTTGTTATTTGGATTCCATATTTCATAAATTTAATATAAAGACTCGTTTGGATAATTTGATTGGTTTATATGCATTGATTTTCTTTCGCAATTAGTGGCCAATGATTGTGTTGCAAGAATAGGTCTAATATATATCGAGAGAATATATTGGATAGAATTAGGAACATTGAATTGGCAAATTTCCATCGGGTCATTAATTTTTATGAAATTAGGGTTTTCATAACTTCAATTGGATATTCGTGATCCTAGTGACTTTATTTTGATTCATTTTCATAAATTAGCTTTTGAATTTGCATAATTTCATTTACTTGAGTGTTTGAATCGTTTAATTAGAGAAATTTCGAAATTAGGGTTTCTAATTAAGAAATTAGGGTTTTTAATAGAAATTAGGGTTTTTAGTTGAAATTAGGGTTTTTAATTGAAATTAGGGCTTTTTGCATTTAGACCATATTATCACTCAATTAGATTCGATTAAGGCTAGATTATATAGAATTTAACTACTCAATCTTTGAGGGACGATATTCGGACTTTTAAAAATCCACTTTATTACTTGTTACGAACCATACACTTTCGGTAGTTTTAAATCGAAAGAATTATTTCGTGAACATATTGATCGGGTAGGTTTCTTTCATTCAAATAATCTCAACAAAGTAGAATATCTCAAAAGAAAAGGGTAAGCAAAAAATGAAAAAAAAGAAAAAAGAAAAAAAAATGAAGAAAATCTAACGTAGTCAATGCAGTACGTTAAAAGAAATCTTATAATTGCCGTTGCTTATGTCCATTAATTCTGGATTTCTATTGCATGAAATTCACAACTTACAAAACCTTAGATCTTGAACGGCCATGAATGGAGAATACCTTCAGTGTGAAGTGTGTCTTTTACCTCATTTAACAGTGAAATGAAGTTTTCATATTCTTTTGCTTGCTTCTCTCTTATTTTTATTTCTTGGATTTAACGTACATATATTGAATCAAGGAGGTCACTCGAGAAAAAACTTTTTATTTCACTAAACCAGAAATGGCAACAAATCACTTCCCTAAGTAGCATAATAAAATTATTCATGAGTACGGAGAGAAAGTTAGCAGATGAGCAACATAATGTGTTACCTTTGGTTGTGAAAATGCCAGTCTCTTCATTTTCGAGAAATGCTTCGACGAACCTCCTTCAACAACATATGCTGCCAGAGTGAACGGAGCCCCAACAAAACCTAGCACTGCTGCTTTATTATTCACCTGGCAAGGCTAGAAAGTGTGTCAACATATTGAATGTTATGATGCCAATGGTCATAACACACTGAACAAAACATGATGCTTATGTTTATTTTTTAAATTCAATCTGAGACCGAAGATACTGATTATCAGGCTATAATCGAGAAATAGCAATTTTGAATTTTCTTTCAAAATCCATGCTTCTAACAAGGTTTCCACATCACATATAACATAATTAAACAACACTAGAAAATGAACTTCAAAACCATGGCCCAAACCTGCCTTCATGTATCTCCCTGCTTGTCTCTCGACCTCTTCTCCTCGAACAACATTAAGAGCCTGTTTGGGAGTGATTTTGAAAATTTATTTTTGACTGTTAAGATAAAAGTGGGGTTCACCTATGAGAAAAGAAGTCAAATATAACGGTTGGAATAGTGAAATAACGATCAAAAACTCAATTTTTTGGAGGAAAAAATCACTCTCAAACAGGCTCTAAGTAACTGAGGTTCAGTATCCACAGTAGCTTTAGGTTCAGCAACTGTCATTGGAAAGTAGAATGAGGAATATACCAAATCCGAGCTTGCTTGTTAACCAAAAACTATTGAATAATATTTAAGTCGAAATATAAATTGTCACTTGAGCAATCTTGTTAAGTACATTAATCGCCACGGGAAAAGGAGAGAAATATATTAAATCAATGGTTTAACGAGTAGATTTTGATTTAAAGCCTGAAAACTGAAACTCTTCAAGTTATTCCATCAAAAGAAGAAGGCCATGAGAAACGATCACAATATCAATATCAATTTGTACAAATGAAGGAATGCCTTCATAATTTTCAGTAATCGCTTTATTTTAATCATAAATTAAGACATTTAACAAATATTATGTGATCCAAGTCCAAACTTTTCTGGTTTTACCAAAGACTCAAATTTTCTTCCATAAACGACTCAAATCGGATTAAAATCTATGAAAAAATAAATAAATAAATACATATCATTATCTACTATAATGAAGAAAAACAGAGTAATACAAATTACCTCCAAAAGAGCAACATAATCTGGGGTGGCGATTAGAGGGAGGAGTGAAGGTCAATTTAGCAGAGATTGATGAAAGTGAGCTGCTATAATTATAAATGGAAGCCATTTTTGCCCACTTTTTGCAAAATCAAAATTGTCTGAATCTAGAATTCCCGTTTACATCCCTCTCAGAATTTGACCTCTATGCTATATAAGCCCACCCCGTAATAAAATTTTGGGATATAAAGATAATGGACGAAATCGAGTTATCTATTCTTGTTTCGTCGTTCGGACCATATCCATTCTCCTCCTCCAAAAATCATTATTACAAACTCATTTTTTTAAAAAATGGCACTCGAATGAGCCCTTAATCTTTAGATTGCACCATTTATAGGTTAAGTTTTGGAAGAATCAACATCAATTCTCATCATCCCGTCTTGATAGTTGTCTATTTAACATTTTCTTTAGCTTTGAGTACTTGACCAAAAATTGATTTCGACTTTGTAGTTTAAATTAAGAAAGGAATTGCTCTCTGTAAAGAGCAATTTCCTACATAATCCTTATCAATCCCTCACTTTTGGGGTCGGTTCCACGTGAAAAGAAAAAAAAAATAAAAAACCACCGAGGTCCGCACCGTGAGTACCTGATAGGGGTTTACAGACCCCTGTAAGTGTAGCAAGGCTCAATTAAGATTTGATGAACTTGGATTACGTCCAAAACACCGCCTAATAATTTTGTTGACATAACATGTCATGATGATCAAGGTGTTATTTCAATCTACACATCAGTTGTATTCAATTTAGTTGTCAATCTCTATGTAAATGGTGTTAAGGGAATATAATCCCACATCGGTAAAATATCGAAATAATGACCAATATATAAAGTCAACCTTATCAATCCCAAGTCTTGACGGGGTCCATCTTAATAAGGTCAATCTTGTTAAGAGGAGTGTCCCAATTCTTTATATATTGGTCATTATTTCGGTATTTTACCGATGTGGGATTATATTCCCTTAACATGCCCCCGCAAGATGGTGGCTCGTTTGAGCAGACCAATCTTGAAATCCGTGTACTCATTTTTAGAGACTTAATCGGATCGAATCGCTCGTTGGAGCTTAATGGGCTCTGATACCATGTCAAGACTTGGGGTCCATCTTAATAAGGTCAACCTTGTTAAGAGGAGTGTCCCAATTCTTTATATATTGGTCATTATTTCGGTATTTTACCGATGTGGGATTATATTCCCTTAACAAATGGTTGGGTAATGTATTTGTTGAGTCATTCTCTTGTGGGATTATCGAACTAAAATCAATTTAAGAGTTGTGCATCTATTTCAAGGGTCAACCTGATTTTATCGAAATGTTCAAAGTGACAACTGCGCGAAAGCTTATAGTTTATAAAGATAATTTTACATACTCACATGATAGCAATAAGAAGATTCATCAAATTAACACACGCATATTTGAGGTCTTGACCGGATTCTGGAGGAATATAGGCAGCGAGGAAGCATGGATAAGATAATCAAAATCAATATCAAATATACTCGATATGAGAATAAAATTGAAAAACCAAGCATAAACATATCTTAATGGATGGTACAAAATACTTTTCACATACAAATCAGATAGCACGATAAAGTAGTTTACACTCCTCCGGCCTTACATTTCAGTTCAAATAATAGTGAGGGTTTTATACATCATGTCAAGCATGAAAATAATGACCTTACTACATCAATCTAATAGACCAAGGACTGCTAACCCGACCACCCAACCCAACACGTCAGGGGCGGGCCGACCATAGGTTCGAATCCTGCCACCTTTCTTGTGGACCATCCTTTACACATTAGCTTTCAAATATATGATCAAAAGTAAATCCTAGGATTACTTACATTAAGCCAAAACCCATCATGCATGCAATGCCAAAAACTCACCCATTGCAAGAAAAATGGTCCCATCGATCCAAACGTGAACAAAACCAAGGAACTCTCAGCGAGTTATGTTCAGCCTTCAAACTTCAAGTTCTAGGGGATTTCTCAGTTGCCCAAGGGCATATTCGTAACCTGCTCCACATAAAACAGCTTCAAATTTTAGTTGTAGTACGTGGAAGAGACAAGTCCAAACTTTCTTAATCATATAATAAAAATATAACTGAGAATCTTTGGCAAAGCTTATAAGTCATTTTTTGGATAAGATACTTTTTTCTCACTTTGAAGTAAAAAAATGAAAGTGGTTTATTTTAATTCTTAACTTAGGCAAACATGCTGTCTAGCATTTGGCTCAATATCCTCCACAGGCAACCATAAAAAGAAAAGCTCTATGAACAATATGAGGAATGCGTAAATGAAAATGCAATGGTAGGGAGGAAGAACAAAACATACAAATCTTCTCTTTTGAAGCTCAATGATTTAGACCAGAAGAAATGAAATCCACTGGATCTTTCAGAATCGTAATGCATCTCAGACTTGTCATAGTTCTGTGATCAAGTCGAACATAATTAAGTAGTAATGTTAGCCAGAGCTCAAATTCGAAACAGGGAGGAAATCGAACCTTGTCGTGTCTTCTGCCAATCTCAGCTGAATCTGCCTCATCATCCACCTGAAAACGATGATCTAATTACGACCATCTTCAAATCCTTAAACTTGAAAGAACTAGTCAATTCTTAAGGGAAACAAGAACTACAGAGTAACAGGAAGGGCTAAGGCAGCAAAAAGATTATACCCAAGAATTCATTGGAGAAGCAACTAACAAAATAGTATAAGATTCCACAAATCAAGAATGTTAAATAATTTCCATTAACTAGTAGAACCAAGTTACTGGAAGTTGAGAAATTTTTTTTCATATTCACTGTTACGAGTTGCATAAGAAAGGAATGCACAAGGTGTTAAACTTGAATTCCAAATTTCCGATAGAACTCTTAGGATTAATTTAACTCATTTCTTAATATAATACAGTTATTGCTTTTCTGAATTTGTTGAAGCGGATAATCTAAAAGCCTTAAGCTGTTAAAGAGGGTACAATTTATTTATTTAATTCGTTTCACAAGAATCATCATCAATGACAAACCCCTTGGAAAGCAAAAAGCATATAAAATGCACATCACATTTCAATAATATTAAAAATAGAAAAAATTAATTACAATATTCACACTAAGATTGCTTGTCTGATCCTATGATTTATGCCTGCATCATTTGGAGTTTCCAAAATCAAATATTATATCCACTGAAGCAGGCTCAGTCTATGAACCCAAACTTCTTAAAAACACGGAAAGAAGTCTAAATTAATTACCCATTCGATCTCATTTTCCTCCTCGAGCAAAAGCTTCACATAAGCTGAGTTAATCTTTTCAGCCTGAAGTACAAATGGTATCCTCTCCTGGGTAACCGAGAAATGTGTCAATCGTAATTAATTGTCCCATAAAGTTCATAACAAAATAAGTAAAACCAATATGGGATGAGATTTTTTCGAAAACCATACCTCTTTTGACATTTTCTTCCAAATGTCAAATCCTTTCCTATCCACTTCAATCTCGTTCCCATCTTTAGAGGTGCTTAACAATTTTTCGCTACAAACCCAAAAAGGCAAACACAGCATTGATGACAAAATATAAAAATATAAACTTATTCACTATCTAAAGGAGGTTCAACATCAAAATGTTATTAAAGCACAAAAAGGTCCAGGATTTGAGTCACACTGCAAACAACTATAAAATTTCTTGTGTTAGGCCTTTGATGAAAAATAAATACGTCTTGAGGAGGCACATCAAAGATCACTCACCGTCTTTCAAGTTAAGCGGTTCAATACAAGAATATGTCCATCTCAACAAAACCAAGCCAAGAATTTTCCGATATTTCCTCCTGATTTTCAGCTTACGTCAATTAAAGAATTCTTACCCTATTGCATGGCAACAAATTCATCTCCGAAGTGTTTTTCTATTGAACCTTTGCTTATTCCTTTTATCGAACATAATGATGTGAATAGGGCTTTAATGAGTTCTAGTGAGTTCTAGTATGCAACGTCAAGCAGTTCTAGTATCTCTGCCCACCAAATGCATTGTTGGAACAGGTTGCAACGACAACCAGCTCTAGAACGTGAGGGACCAATTTGTACTAATCTAAAAAGTTGTACACATGAATATAAATTTGCACAAGACAAAATTTTTTTCAACATTATCCCCAACTTTCCATTTTAAGTAATCATAATATCATTGTCAAATGCAACTATGCAAATAGCTAGTAATAAACCTTAAGACAGGTTTCTGGACAAGAAATTTAGTTTGGGGTCCTACACAAACGGAAAACCATCTGCAAAAACACAATCATATGTATGTATCTATAGAATATATACAGCACAAATCCTATAACCCTATAAACTCATTTAAAAAAAAAATTACAATGATAACAAAGAATCAAGAAGAGAATTTACATGAATAAACGAAAGGCTGATCTGGGTTGGTACTGAATCTTCAGCCCATTACTGTTTCGAATCCCAAATTGGCTCTTCAATTTCTTTGTGGACAGTTTCTTGATTTCACACTCGTGCATGTCTGTCAAAGCAATGGCCACCAAAAGCCCACATTTTTCACTGCAAAATACATACATAAACACACACGCAAATGTGTATATATACATTTAGTTTAAAATCTTAAAAGCAAGCAGTATAAAGTTGAAATAATGAATAGAAAAAAGAGGTTGAAGGACTTGAATTGAAATCTTAACCATTTTTGAAAGGCGCTTCCATCTGGACCGCGGGGAATTGAATGAACCCTTTTTCTTGCTCTTGGCTGGGAAACCATATTCTACCAAGAGTATGTTTGGCATGTGCTAACGTAAGCTTCCGACCTGAAATTAATTGTTAAATAGGTTATAGCCGGTAAGGCATGTTTGTCTGTCTCAAAGAAAAATGTGTCAATTTGATAATTTTTCTACGGTAAAACAAGATTATGATTTTATACTCGTTTGGGAGGATTGAAAATTAGATTTTAATTTAAGTCAAAATTATTAATTAATTTTAATTACATAATTTATGAATTTTTCACTCATATATCATCAATTTTTATTATTATTTTTTTAATCAAAATTTACTAAAAATTTGATTTTAATACCAATCAAATAGGGATTTAGGCTCATTCTTGTTATTTTTCTTAAGTTCATTTCCAATTACATAATTGATAGGAAGAAATAAATAATTCATTTAATTTCAAATTTCATTTAACCAATGATGTTTCAACCTCAGAGGAACTACATAGTATTATTCATTTTTATTTGTCAAATGTGGGTATACTTTAAATGCATGCTTAGCATATGTATTGAATAGTACAATAAATAAATAAAAAAATCTTAATGTCATTACTACATACTATTCTACAGTTCATTATATCAAAGTAGCCAACACATTAAGAGCCTGGTGGGGAGTGGTTTTGATAATTGATTTTTTGACTGTTAGGAGAAAATTGAGGTCCACCTGTAAGAGAAGAAGTCAAATATGCCGGTTGGAATAGTGAAATAACAGTCAAAAAATCAATTTTTTTGTTGATAAAATCGCTCCCAAACAGGCCCTAAGAGTCTGATTGGAAGTGATTTTAAGAATTGATTTTTTGATCGTTAGAAGAAAAGTGAGGTACACTTGTGAAAGAAGAAATCAAATATGACGACTGAAATAGTGAAATAACGATAAAAAAAATTAATTTTTTGAGCCAAAAAAATAACTTCCAAAACAGACTGTAAAAGGGTGCATTTCAGCGGGAAGTAATTCTGTGGCTAAAATGAGCTGGGCGGGAGGGTGGAAAGGGTAAAAGATTTCCCGCTTTTACTTGAAAGTTGATTTGTTGGAAAAACACGTGTCTCGATGTGATTAGGTTTTTGTGGTAATGAATGGGTTAGTAATGGGAAATGTTCAAATTAGTCTTTACAGTCGGATCAATTAAAATATTCAACATTGGCTAAGAGGGGTAGTATAGGAATTTAAGAAGAGAAAATTAATTTTAGAAAAATGATATCTATCAATGATGAAAGTAGTCATACTTGACATATTCAATTAAATGAATAATAAAATATTATATTTAAGTGAATCTATTATTTAATTCATACAATTGCCATCTACATTAATGCATGATACCGAAAGTACTTAATAGCATTACTCTTAATTTTATGGGTAATTATGTTTACGTCGCACTTTTTAATGAGAATAATGTTATTTAGTACGATTGGTGGTGTTATAACATCTATTTAGAGGCACCAAACTCTTGTTTGGTCTCAATTAAACCAAAAACGTATTTTTTCAACATTTTCAATAAAATAATATTACACGTAAATTTAAATTTTTTCTTGCTTTTTAACTATATATTCTCTAAGGAATTATTATTTCAAATTTTTTTTTTCGAAACCTCTTTAAAATGGAGCCCAAACAATAGCTCAATATCATTAAATGTAAGATACAATTAAATGAATCACATAAATTCACTTTTAATTGAACTAAATCATACAATGTCATATAAATTGATGCCCTAGCACCGCCAATGCTATATAGTATTATTCTTTTAATAAATGCACCGCATTTTAATTTGCTTATGTACTTATAACGTTAATGTTTTTTCATTGCATTGTTACCCTCAACTTTTTATAAATCAGAACACTTTGTTCACAATGATGATTTTTATGTCTAATAAGTATGCTAAAGGGTGTAAAAAGACTTATTTGCCCCTCATATTTTTAAATAAAAAATAAATACAAAGGTTCAACAAAATATTTGTTACTTATTTTAAAGCACGCTGATACAGAAAATCATCATTAGAAGCAAGATGTGCTATTTAACTTGATGTTAAGATTAATGATGTGATGTAAGAAAGTTTGGAATATAAATGCAAAAATGAACAAAAGTTGTAGACTTTTGATGCAATTAAACTATGGCGTAGTTAACAAAAACTATTGTGTTAATATAATTATCCTAGTGTTTTTTATGGAAAACAAATTTGTAAAAAACAAATTTGTTTGTTCCACCACATTTTATTTACAGTAAAAGTTTCAATATTTATTTATTGTTACTTTTACGTCATCAACTTTGTGTTTTGTCACATTTTTAGATTTAACTTCATTAATCAATACATCTTGTTGTAACGATGGTTTCCATCTTAAAGTGCTTTAAAACAAGGGACATATGCGAACTTTTATATTTGCCTTACGTATTTTATTTATTTAAAAATATGATGAACAAATAAATTATTTTATGCCTCTTGATTGATTTTTTAGACTAAAACCATGATCAGAAAAAAAGGTTGATAATAAGAACGCGATAAAATGAAAGTTAAAATAAAAAATATGACAATGAACAAAGGTTGAGGACCTTCATTGCAATTCAAATAAGGTCCAACTAGCAAAAACTATTATACACATAATACAAACTGAATTATCGAACTGTTACAAAAAGTTGAAAGCAAACTTTCTTATTTTAAAGTTGAGAACTAATTGCTAATCAATAGGCTGCGGACTAATAGTGAAACATTTTCTTAATTTAAAGCATAGTTATCAAATACAAATTGAACAAATACAAGGGTTGGAAAGTTCGAGTTCCTTCGAATCTTTTACTAGTGGAGATATTGTGAAAAAATTAGTTGTTTATCTCGAGGATAGTTAGTCTTTTTACTTATCTATCGATTAGCAAGACTATATAAATCTTGTTTTTCTTGTATTTTTATTATGCTATTAAGCAAGAAACCTAAACTCTTTTCTTTTCTATATTCATCTCATGAATTTTGTTGATCTTATCGAAGAACATTATATTACATCCAGAGCTCTCGCATTCAATTCTAGTTCTCGTTCTCATGAATTTTTTTGATGATCGTATAGTTTTCTGGCTTCCGCTTGTTATCGTTCAATTCAAGTTTGATTTGACATCTCAATATTTTATAGTTTTCTAAGTAGTAGTTGTTCGTTTATTTCACAATGGCTGGAATTCGGAGTAATTCTCTTCAGTTTATTAGTGTGCAATTAAGTGAAAAAAATTATTCCCACTGGAGTTATGTGATGAAGAATTTTATAAAGGGTAAAAGCTGTGAGGCTATGTTTCTGGCACCTGTGTTAAGACCTATAGATGACAAGGTTACTGGTTCTATAAAATTGTTAGGTATTGTGGAATCTTATAAATTCGAAGATTATTAGTTAGGTTAGTATATTTTGCAGTGAAAAAAGCTGGAGATCCCGGGATAAAATCCCGGGATTCAGTTCAGGGGCCGAGGTGGCAGCACCTCGGCCTCCGATGTTAAAGGGGCGGCTGGAACGGAACCCGGGCTGAAGCATCACTCTTTTGCAGTTGACCTGCGCGCAATTGGCTAAGTATTATATTTTTAAGGCAGATTGCGAGCATCTGGTTAGACTGTACACACAGTCTAACTTTGCTAAACAATACCCGTTAGAGATTGATATTTGCGCCTTTCAACAAAAGAGTACGAGTGGTCAGAAATTTTTTTATACTATGATAGATGTATGCGATCAATTGGTACTCACAAACTTTTTAGATTTACACGCATTTACTCCATATATCACTCGAGGGGAAGAACATCGATTGCTACAATTTTTGACGGTCCTACATGATGATTTTGTGGGACTTCGTAGGACAATCTTGTTTCACATTATCTTTCTTCTGCGGATTTTGTTGGCTGGAGAGATGCACTTCAAATCTCACAGACAGAGATCGCTCCACCATCTAGTCCATCTATCATTGCAACAACTCAGAAATTGTTTTCCAATAATCAAAGTAGGTTGCCTTCGAAGGTTGCTCACAATGAATGACAGTTTGTAAGCAGAAGTGTCGTTGAAATGGATAATGTCCTTAATTGTTGAATAGAGCTAAACAGCAGTATCCTTAACAACAACGACAACATCAACCCCAAAAATAACAACAGCAACGATTACGCCGGCAACAATATAAGTCCCTCCACCATGGAAGTTTAGAAACCAAACACCTCAACCTAATACTGCAATGTGATGAGGACATCTACTTTTTATTTATTTGGACTTTATTTATGTTTTAGATTTTATTTATGTAATTGGGCTTGTGTTGGCCCAAGTCCATTCTACTTAAGGTTTTAGTTTTTACTATTTAAACCTAATTGCGATGTAATTTCATTAGTTTTGATGAATTGAAGAATATTTTGGTGGTTTGTTGCTTATGGCTTCTCCTTCCTCTCCCTTCCCCTCTCCCTCGTGAATTTCTGATTCTTCTCCAATTTCTCCCTCCATTCTCTTCGGTTCTCCCATCTTTCTTGCTCCTTCTTTCTATTTTTTAATTCGTCCTGCATCAAATTTGGTATCAGAGCCAGGTTGGGTAAACTTAATCTACAATACAAAATTCTTTCTCGCTTTCTTCCCAAAATTTGTTGGAACAACACAAGTGAAAAGATTTTAAGTGCACAAACAGCATATTCCATTTTTCTAGTTGTCATTCGTTGCTGGAGAGAAAAAAAACAGTTACTGTTCGGGTTACTGTTCACGCCCAATTTCAATTTTTTTTCCCTTCAATTTTCTATCGTAGTTGCCCAAAAATTAAAAAAAAAAAAAAAAATTGTTCACGTTACTGTTCACAGGCGGAAATTTCAGTTTAGATTTTTTCTACAATTTCAGTTCCCCTCCAAAAAAGAAAAAAAAATCTCGTTTGCTACTATTTCTTCTATATAATTGTAGTGTTGTTTCACAAATTCTAACCCTAACATTCAATTCTACTTACACACGGCCCAATTCCATTTAGCCTAACTAACCCAGCCTACTCTCTACGACCCAGGCCCACTCCCCAAACACTAACCTCAGCTGGTCCATCTCTATAACAGGATCCAAATCCCTTCCCATCTGGCCCAGTCCCAAATATCCGACCAAGCCCGATTATACCCAATCCATAAACATCAA